GCTGGCGCTGGCTGGGCTGGCGCTGGCGCTGGCGGAGTAAGGCTACAGTGTTCGGAACACGCGCAAAAACATGCAGAGCCAATGCATGAGAGCAGGGAAGTTCCCATCAGTTCCTGTGGGATGCTACCATACACATGTTCTTGTCGGCACAGAAACACGTGCAGAATCACCTTCATGTGCATTTACTGCCTGCAGCCAGACCCCAAGCTGTAACCCCGGTAAAGGTTCTTGACCCAAAAAACCCAGACCCTGCAACCGTAAGCCCTACCCTGAGCCTCAAACGCGAAGCCTATTGGTGCGACAGACTTCGGAGTCAAGGATTGCATCACGACCGTGTGTGCATGAGCCTTGTCTTGCTTTGGTGGCAGTCGTTTAGGGTTGAGGGCTTGCCAGATTTTGGGGATTAGTTGAGAACTCCGCCGAGGCATGATATGATCAACTCCGACGGTGGACCTACATCAGCTCATGCAAAGAGCCGTGTTGATTTGGAGATCTGCTGATTCGTGCTCCCTGCTTCAGCACCCGGGCACGTGGGCAAGGACGTCTCGGACATGTGGCCAGCGAACCGTTTCACTCCTAGAATCCTGATGACGCGGAGAGCAAAAAGCTGCCAGAAGTTATATTATCAGAGATGCCTACGGCACTGATCAGCACTTTAGGCATACCTTGCATTCGGACTCGTCGATTTTTGGTTGATCCGAAACCAAGTGGACGTGCCCTGTTTCCGCATGCAGCCACAAGAAGAACACGGGAAAGGAGCCTAATGATGAAAAGCACGAGTGTTGCAGGGAATGAGAAGAGCGACTTAAAGGAGTTCCGGCTCATGTGTGACTGTCACGACATTGGCTCAGGCAGCAGGGTGAAGCACACCAAACCTCAAAGAGGTGTCTGCTGCTGCAGTTCGAAGGTTGCAGGAGGTTGCCTTTGAAAACGTCCCAGCAATGGACGATGAGGGCGAGAACGAGTTTGTCAGCGAGCAGGTCAACGAGATCGTCAAGAACGCGATCACCAAGACTCTTGGAGGGTCGGAGTTGTACTCAAGCCACTTTCTAAGTCATGTCTTGAAGTCTGAACTCTGGACCAAGCAGTTTGCACTTCGCCCTGCCAGGTCACAGTACAGCAAGGAGCGAGTCACTTCCTGGACGAATCAAATTATTGATGAATGCCTAAAGGACATTGTCGAGTCTTTCACTCCGGCCACGTCTTTGAGTTCAGAGCGCAGAGGTTTTCAGGAAACAACCAGTCTTGCATTGGTGCTTGCAGGAGCTTGCAAAGTTGAACAAGCCCTTCAAGTATGCAGCTTGTTCGCACTTCCCACTGCTGCGGGCCTGTCACCATGACATGAGTCACCCTCCATCACTTCCACTTCCGTCATACAAGCATGGGTGGTGCGTGTGTCACTTAGACTGTACATCGTGCAGTCCGGGCATTCGCATCTCTAGTTGGCATGTGTTTCGACGACTGACTGCTGCAAAGGTGGTCACGTGCATCATCATGCAGAAGAGTGGTGCCCCGTTGCACACAGCGCTGACACTACACTGGGACACAAAAACCGACGGAACCTCATGTGTCCAAGTTGGGACTGATACCATGGACCCTTGGCTTGACGCATCCGTGGCAGAGCTATTTGGGAAACTTACTTGTTGGCACCTGCGAAAGTTTGAAGCGTGTCACGTCCACAAACAGGAACCCTGCGCGACATGCTATAGTTGTCAGCACGCGGAAGTGTGCCTGCTCGCGACCCTTGTCATGCTGAATCATCTCTGAGGATTGCATCACGACGGTCTGTGCATGAGACTTGTCTCAAAGCTGTTCTTCCCTTCCCACCTTTTTCGGCATGGCTCGTGATCATCTGGTGGACATGCCAAGGCATGATCTGAGATCTCTTTGCGAAGACTTTGAGAAGGAAGAGCTGACGGACGACCCAGAAAGTAAAGCCAGTGTCAAACTACGTTCTGTTTGAGGCCGGCTTGAACAGCTTAGCTTTCCAAGCAAACTGTTAAAGACAGGGGCAGTCCGTCTTAACATGGAGGCTAATTCCAATGATAATCGTGCTCACCCACCGCTACCAGTGCGGGATGGAAGCGACTTAAATCCAATTGCATTGGCTTCAGCTTGGACCTTGGTAGTGACAGCTTCCGTCCGTGCAACCGTGGCGAATGCATGCGCTGAGAGAAGGCTCTGTGCCGATGTATAGTAGCATTCTTGCATTGAACCCTTGCCGTGTGGCGAAAACAAGATCTCAGTCTGCTTGAACTGCATGCCCACTGTTGATCCTTCCGGATCTGGACGCACTCCACCAACCTTGACCTAGAATGTCAAGTTCACAATGTGCCACTCCCTTGTGACACACTCGTGGCAGGCCGTTGACGAAGAGGATCCCGAAGTGGTGATCCGATTGTGAAGTGGTGAGTGCCACCGGGTACAAAGGATGTTGTTGTTGAACTTGTCATCATGCTGTTCGACAAGGAGTCGCTCTGGTGCTTGCCGTTCAGGTTTTTCAAGAAGCCTCCATGCCGACAAATGTTGTGCTGGTGGATAGGATGACCTGTGACAGCGGCTCCCTCAAGTGGGCGCTGCTGCCAAGTCAACTCGCTATTCTCGAGCCCGCCGGGACAAATGTTGTTTGACGGTCCAGCAGAGGAGGAGTTTAGAGCGTTCCATGTCATTATACTATGATGAAAGATGTGGACATGTGACGAACCTTTTAACTTTGAATAAGGTCGACAGATGGCCATTGCTCAGTGGCTTCATGTTGGGCTTCGGCACAGGCATGTGTACTAAAGAGCAAGTGGGCATGCCACCAAGAAGATGGAGGGAAGAGGCACAGAATCATAGGGGACCAGACCACAGGCAAACGTTCCACCTTGCAAGAACCCAGCTTAGACTTATCTCAAAGTCACCGCAGCACTCCGACGCGCTACTGCCACATCCCTGACATCCCTTGCCCCAAAGTTAAAAAGCCGGCCCGTCAAACCCCGAATGGGTCTATCCACAACTTACAAGACCTGAATGAGTGCAGAACGACAAGAAGCAAGAACAAATGTTTCAGGGATTTTCGAAAGTGAATGATGTTCAGAGGCTTCTGCGTCCAATTCCCAAATCGAACTGTTCGATGGAGCCACAATCCTGCTCGCAGCAATGGCACCGAAAGCAGTCTAGCGCCTGGTGACATTACGGACTTCTATCTCGCTTGCACGTGGTTGAGCATGAAGCAGTGATTCTCTCTGTCGGCACCAATCACAAATTATGCCGGAAGCCCCAAACACATCATACTGTGCCTTCATGATGTCTCGTGCCAAACGATGCGCCGCCGCAGGGGCACAGGCTCAGGACAGGCCTCAAGGAGGCAGCAGCGGGGTGGGGTGCCGCATTTCGTGTCCGTGCTGAGGATGCTGTGATGCGGTGTCCGAGAGCGAAGATGACAGGACCCAGCAGATTGCGACTTTTAGTCGTGCTGTGGTTCCTGGTTTCCGGTTTCTTCACTCTTTGGGAGTACGACTACGACTAGTGAGGCAGCGTGCTTCGTGCCCAGAGTGTTCCCGAGCTCTCACGACGAATTCGTTTTGTCACGGACAGTCGCATTGACGGATTTTGCCAGAGGATGCTTGGGGCTTGGGGGTTGAGTCTTATGGAAGACTTTCAGGTTGCAATGGAACACAATTCCAGTGCTTGGGTGCATGAGGATGCAATACTCGCTACAGGGAGCGCGAGCCTTAGATGCGAAGCCATACAAGTACTCTGCGACATAGTTTTTCCGCTTGTGAGCTTGCTCCATCAAGCTTTCTGAGATTCTGCGTTTCGCTGCGGGCCTCGACATACGCAGCTTGGTACAAAATGCCGATGTTGAAGCTATGAAGATCTGGGCTATCAAAGCCACAAATAGTCGAAACTTCTAACCGTCTCCTGTGCCCAGGAGGCTTGCGCCCCAGCTCAGCACCACCTCCGCTTGCGCCGGAGCCCCTGAACAGACTCCGACCAGCCGTGTTTTCGTTTCGCTGAGTTGCTGGCCCAAGCAGGTCTGCGATCTCCGCATTTCTCGGGCAACGTGCTTGGAGAGCCTGTGCTAGCTTGAGTCTATACACCGCACAGCAACGGTGGGGAAGATGGCACGGACGCTCTAAGAAAACCAAGAAAACACGTAACACAGTCCATTTTGCGATATTGCATCTCATTTTAATGTTTCCGTACATGCAAAAGACCAGACGACCCCCGGAGCCGTGGAAGGACTACCCTGAGCCTCTGATCTTTGCTGTTGAGGGTAGTGAAGAGCTTTGCTTGCATCAGCCTGTGTATCTCCCGATGTGCTCAGAGCGTGCAGCTGCGTGCTGCTTGGCCGCTGCGCCGTGGGCTGGCAGCGCTTTGTGCCGACAGGACGGGCAGCAGGAGTCGCGTGGTTTTTAGAAGATTAGATTCATCTCACTCATGCCAGCCAGTGAGTGCTTTTAAGGAAACATGAGGGTGTGCGTTTTTTTGCTTGCGCGAGAGAGTCGTGTGCACCGGACATGGTGCCGCCATGACGAGAGTCTTGCCAAACAAGACCCGGGAACATTGGACAGACTCTGGCTCTTGGGCAGAAGGCCCTTGTTCGTGCCAGGACTTGATAGCGAGATGCTGCAACGATGGGTCGTCGAGAATTGGCCTGCAGCCGAGTGACATGAGAGGCACAAGCGAAGATGACTAACAGGTCAATCGAAGGTGATCTTCCGGGTTTTGCTTGAGGCCGTCGGCCAGGTTGCCCGACGCTGCGCAGCCGGAGGCAACCTTTGCCATTTGGTGTTCATGTACTTGTTTTTGCGCATTTGTCTTCTTGCTTCCCTTCGTCACGCTGAGTCATGCTGCTGGAAGTTGTGGGATGTTTGGCTTATCCCGGGTCCAGCGGGAGCGCTGCGCAGCCTTCCGAGAGCTGCGTTCAGGTCACAGCTGGGGAAGTATTGGTGGTAGCGATTTTCTCCTGTCAGAGAGGAAGCCAGGATTCGAAATGTGAGCGTGCGCGACGTTCTCAGGCACATTACTTTGCCTCTCAGAAGGAAAGAGGCCGCATTAAGAATTCAAAGCTGGTTCAGGAGACGAACTTGGAAGGCCGAGACAGATGGTGTGTCTAGCCAGAGCTGTGATGATGATTCAAGATTTGGCGACTCTGATTCTGAAGAAGATGCGACCACACATTCAGCAGATGCGGCAGAAGAGGTGGGCTTGCAAAA